TTTCCTCTGAGAAAAGCCTCCAGAGCAGTGTTTTGTGAAACCTTGAAAGCTCGCGAGATCAGGATGGTCTCACGAGGCTAGCAACACCTCCCCCTGACATTGTTTGTCAATAGGAGCTCCAAAATCAACTGACTGTCATGTCATTTATCTGTTATATTTTTTTTTATGTTAAAGATAAATTGCAGCTCTGCATTAACATATTTGTGCGAATTTTACAGACAGACTGCTTTCAATTGTTTAGAACGTTACATATCCACATTTACTGGTACCACAAACAAAAGACAGACTAAGTAAAAACTTGAGTAAAAACATTTGACATTAAAAAAAATGTATACATTGTATAAGTTATTTTTTTTAAGTACTATTTCTGCATGTTGTTTGTGTCTGCTGTTTGCATCATGACTGCAACTTGGTCTGAAATTGACGTATTGAGACTCCTTTCAGTGGAACTTTTCAAATGTATTTTGGGCCATTTTAAAATGCTAAGAAATCCAATCTTCTAGGTGGCAGCAACTAATCATTAAACCAATGAGACAGCAGTTTGGGGGTTTAGTGATTCTCTAATCACTGAATTGGCTTTACTCTTCAAGAGGTGCTGCAGTTAATCTGCACCCATTAGACTTGTCAAAATATCCATACTCTGAAAAGTGTTGATACTGAGACATTGTATCTGGATACAATGCTAACTTTGCATGATACTAAGCAAAAAACAAATGCAAAAACTTGTGTTATTTTTTATCTTTATTCTGCTTTATAATTTGCTCATTAAAAGAATAATGCCTAAAACAACATAAAAATATTGTCAACTTGTCAAGTTTATGTTTAGGTCATTCTAATGCTTAGATTAGAAAAAAGTTTATGTTGATAAATGTTGTTATCCCTTAAATTGGAGGTCCTTAACAGGGGGTCCGCGACCATTAGGGGGTCCATGACGGTACTGCATAGGGGTCGCGAAAGGGATCGTCAAAGCTTGTTAAGGTTTTAATATCTTGAAGTGACGATTTGGTGTTTTCAGATCCTTTTAAGAGCGGTTCCTCAGAATTGCGTTGTTTGTTTATTACTATATTTCTGGAACTGGGAGGCAATGACCAGTTTATGTCAGAAAAAAATGTCCTTACTCTCTTCCAACAATTAGTTTGGGTTTTAACTTGACCTAGCTATATATGTCTGGAACTGGGTGACGATGCTTGTTTTTGGTCAGAGACACTAACTGATGCTGGGCGGGTGTCACAGTAGGGAATCCTGGGTAAAAGTCGGACCCAATTTCTGGCTATCTTTGAGGAGAGGGAGTCCTGCTGGACCAACTTAATGAGGTTGTGTCATACGAGTACACTGGCAAGCTTTCTGGGATTTTGACGGTCTTAGCATGAAAGAAATGACCTTTGGGTGGGTCATAGTTGCCTGAAGTGACACTGTAAATGACAATCATTGTCACATGACCAAAGAAATACCACTGGATCGATCCCCTTTCCCTTTGTAACAACACAGCTACATACACTACATAGAAATAAACACCAGTTGTTAATATCAGACCAGTTTTACTAATTGAAGCAGTACAAATGTTAATGCAGATATATTTTGAATCCTTAAAGTTTTTCATTCTCAATCTTAGATGGACAGAAAATGGATGGTTCAGTAGAATAAAACAACGTTTCAAACAAGTATGTTCTCCTGCAGAGACAGGATTGATGGTTTTATAACTGTTTTTATCGGTCAGCTTAACTTTCGGCCTCAAACCATGCATGGCCGTAAATGAAGTAGTGGTTACTAGTTAACAAAGGCCTGTCAAACTAAACCTGCCTCTGCAGCAAACATCCAAGCATTTCAATGCAAACACACTTATCATAAACACTGCAGTTTCCATCTCCTGTGTCTAATGGGGTTTATTACCCTCTGGAGGTTATGTGGCAATTAACATTACAATCCATTAGTTCCCATGTCCTACCTGACCTTTACAGAGTAGTTCAGCAGTTGTGCTCCACTGCCTCTTATTGGCCAGATGATGGGAGGATCAGAGATGGGCTAATGAGCAAAGGTTCAACAAAACTGCGTTCATGTATCCACATGTATAAGATGGATGTTGGAGAGGGTTCAGTGGGAGGTCTCCCTCAGTCCCTGATGTGATGTTCAGATGCTTATGGTTTTAAAAGGACTTCATGTTGGAGCTGAGATGTATTGACAAGGCACAGTGAGAGTATATTCAGCTGAGGTTTAATGACATTTACAGGAAGGCGTTTTCCATAAAGTATACAGTAGCTTGCTGTGCAGAAATGCATCATTGTTGGTGGTTCTGTTAATCCAGACTCATTGGCTGCTCTTTGAAATCAGTCTGTTTTTTTTTTGAAATAGTTAAACTTTGTGTCTGTTTTGGTTTCTAATCAGGTTGCAGATTATGAGATCATCTGTTAAAGATATTTAGATCCGGGTGAAGAGGCAGACTTTCATAAACGTTGCTCTGCAGGATCCTTCAGTTCCCTGGAATTTTGAGCTGACTGTTTGGTTTTCACAGCCCACATCATTCACTGTTTTGATCCAGTTTCTCCTCAGCATTCCATTCACAAGAACAAAGGAAACATGACACAGTTGTGAAAATCTATCTTCTGTTTCTGGCTGTTATCCTGACTTATTACCGACTTTGTCTTGTTTTATACTTTTTCACTGAAAAAAGATATATCTAGAAATAAGTGCAATTTTCTGAAATTAAGCGTATTTATTTAAAACTTAGTTATTTAGATTTTATGTTTTTGCAGTGTTGAGGCTTGGGTTAAAATAAAGGCATCAGGCTTTTTAAATTTGGGACCAACACTTTGATTATGCTGGTCAAGAAATAGTGTAGTAATTCAAAGAGGCCTTGATGTCATAAACATTCGACCAGCTGATATTGTCATGATGATGGTTTATTTGGGATAAATTGTGTCTCGTACTGGAATTCCAATGTAAAAATGTCAAACGCTGCTGATGTTGATAGGGCTCTGCACTCTTTGTTGGCTTTATTTTGAAGATCTGTATAGTGCAGAATGTGGGTCTAAGTTTGATTATTTCTTCGCCTGTTCTTGACTTCATGCAGACTGTATAGCCATTCCTTTCTGTTTTATGAAATATTTACTTTGTAGACAATATTTCTCTCAGCAACAATATATCCAGACAATTTTATAAATAATACTATACATACAGTTATATAAGGCAAATAAAATGCTTTTGCATTGAGAAGCTGCGATCTCCATCGTTACATTCCTGATGGGTTTTTAATGGGTCCATGCGAAACAGATTCTAGTTCCTTTAGAAAAGCAGTCATGACTAAACATGCTCCATTTTTTTATTAACTATAAATAAAATAGGTATTTAGGACCTGCTAAGTTATTTATTTTTTAATAAATTAATAATAACTTATTAGCTTAATAAATGCAATAAATGCTAAAGAGTCTGTAATTTGGAAGAAGTTTGTTAATCTTGATTCAATAGGAATATTGTAATGTTTTTTCCCAAAGTCAGAAAGCACAATTATTTTGATTTGTATATTTTTAGATAGGTAATATCTGGCTGTTATGTTGCTGTTTATGTGCAAAAAATTATTTTTCTGAACCAGAGATAATATGAGATGAAAAAAGATTTCAATATGTGAGCATATCTAACTGAGGAACAACATATTTCATGGTGTTCTTGCTGGTTTCTACCTTACGGAAGAGGATTAGGGCCACTGGAAAAAAAAAAAGAAAAAGAAAAGTTAACTGATTTTTAAATATTATTTCAGTTTAATATTGTGACTTTAATCTCAGAATTTTGACTTTTTTCTCAGAATTCTGACTTTAATCTCAGAATTGTGAATCTTAATGTAGATGGGCACTATGAAGAGAGAGATGTGGGAGCACTCAGCTTCACTTACAAAGATGTGAGTTGTTTGGAAGGAACAGTGACACATTGGTGGAAAATGACAGAATTAGGCAACTTTTTACGTGCCCGAGGGGTCCCCTCATTAATGGAGGAGCAGAAGGTCCTTAAAACAACAGAGCTAGTCTCTAAAACAGACATGGCTATGGCTTGATGCTAATATGTTTGTTAGCTGTCAGAATTCAGTCAGAATTCTGAGATTAAAGTCAGAATTCTGACTTTTTTCCCATAATAAACTGAAATTAAATTTAAAAATCAGTTAACTTTTTAAACTTTTTTTCAGTAGCCCTAATCCTCTTCCATACTACCTTCATTTCTCTCCTCAGTGATTTTGACTGCCTGGACGAGGAGAACCATGAGAGGAACAACCAGCTCGCTTTTGACGTGGCAGAGAAGGAGTTTGGCATATCGCCATGCATGACCGGCAAGGAGATGTCTTCTGTGGTGGAGCCAGACAAACTCTCCATGGTCATGTACCTCAGTCAGTTCTATGAAATGTTCAGGGACACAGTGCCACCTGGAGGTGAGTGGAGGAGCTGTTGCATTTCTGGGTTTGGTCTGTGTTTAAAGATGTTAAATGTTTAATGGGATCTACGTTCAAACATTTGAATTTTTTCAGATAATCAGAACTGGAGTCCGGAGGAAAAAGCTGCCCTGATTGCCAGCACAAAGTCTCCCATCTCCTTCCTCAGCAAGCTGGGTCAGAGCATAGCTATTTCCAGGAAAAGAAACCCCAAGGTCAGGGATAAAAAACAAAAGACTTACAACACGTCTAGCTTCTTGTTTTCTCTCTCATTTCATGTTTAAACTCGTGCTTCAGGTCACAGTAACACCTAGCATGTCATTAACAGGACAAAAAAGAGAAGGATGTAGACGGTTTGGGCAAACGAAGGAAAACCAGTCAGTCTGAGGATGTGAGTGGTACTAATATTAGCCTGTGACTATCATTAAGTCCATCCATCTAAAATAAATGTTTCATATGTATTTCTGTTGCCCAAAGGAGGATATATCCAGGACTTGTCATGAAGAAAGACCGTCTGTCCCTCCTGTGCAGTCGGAAAGAAAAATGGACTCTGCTGCAGCAGCAAACCATAATAAAGTGAAGGTCATGGCCACCCAGCTGCTGGCCAAGTTTGAGGAGAACGCCCCCGCTCAACCTGCAGGGCTAAAAAGACAGGTATGTAGGAAACATGCACGATGTATTTCATGGTTGTACTTCTGCAGGGGCGGGGGCACTGCTTAGAGAAACAAGTAACCCATTTACTTTCAGCTGGAGGAGCGTGCCGTTTGATGGTGTATGACGGTACCTCTGGTTTGACGGTAGACGAGCTGTAGGCCTCTGTATTAATGAGCTGAGGTCCAGTATGCTGGTACCGCTAAAGCAGACCATTGTTTCTGGGTCATGTGGGCGGCCTCGCAGTGCTGACTGGACTTGAATGGGCCGTCTGATTCGCCGCGGACGACCGATTTGTGTGATACGACGGACAATAGACATATTGAAAATCTGAGCGACATTTCTGAATCGAAAAGCTCTCGGTTCTTGAGGCTTCAGGTACAAAGACTGCTAAAGCACAAGTGATTAAATCCAGATGGATGGGATTAATTAGATCCAAACCTTTCCTTCGAATACACCACACTATGTGTACTCATCCTTTCCTTTAGACAACGCCATTTAATAGAGAATCTAACGGATGTAAATCGGAGTAAAGGTTGGAAAAGTTTCTAATAAAAATGTTGTTGGTATCTATTAATTTGACATGATTTACACAGATTGTTATTGTGTAAAATGTAGAAATGTCCCAGCTTTCCGCATGTTTATTGACATCTCTGCTACAAACACAGTAGTGCTAAGAAGCCTGGAAGATGCTCTGAAACATTAAGCAGAAAAAATAAACAGAAACTTCATACAACTTAACAAAGACAGCCTGTCTGTCAGAATTGATTAAAAACAATTAATTGTCACCAAAAAAACCAAAAAAAAAATTATCAAAATTTTGAGAATTTAGGAATGACCGAGTAGCTCATTGTTTCCATATTTCTGTTCATTTAGATTCACTCCCCTTCATGTCATCTATCCTGCAACATACCATCTATGCTTAAACCTTCGTCTGCTCTCTCTTGTCTGTTTTCTCCCTGGTTTCACCTTCCCTCTGTGGATCCTTCCATGGTGCCTTGCATGATTGTTTTGTCTCATGTTGGCCATTAAGGGGGACTCTCTGCCCAATCTGGACCAACTTTTGTCCCCTTGCCCACTGGCAAACCCTGTCACCGAGCCCGTACGCCTGGCTCCTGTTCCTGCATGGAGAAAGGTAAACCTCCCCTTCAGAGTTGTCAGCAGGTTTAGTTTGACCCGTTCCTGTAGAAGCTCTACTGACTCTGTCAGCTTAGAGTTGGATAAATAGACTCTTTAGCTGTAGTTAAAAACTCTGTAAGTGAGTTGGGGAGCCGCTGAACTGTCATGCTATTTCCTCCTTGCTTGTCCTGTTCTGGCTCAGAGGCGCACCCAGCGGCAGGAGAAGCTCAGCATTCGCTACAACGAAATGATCAAATGTCAGACACTGCCCAGCAGAGGGGAACAGGTACGGTTAGTTAGCATCGTAGCTCTCCAGCTCTTAGAACCTCGCCACAACCTTAGATTAGAAACCCCATCCATCAAAGATGGATACCTTCAATTCTGAAGGAAGATGAATAAAAGCCATGAGTCACAAACTTGGGTTCATTTTCCATTACGTATGAATGAAGAAAACACCCAGGGACACTTTGACCTTTGGGGTCAAACAGCACTTTACGCTGTTTTATCACTAAATCCTGGTCAGCTTCATTATTGCCATAAAATTACACATTATTCTACATGAGCATAGAATCATTTTTTTATTATAATAATTACCAGTTATGGTTTGGGGTGTGGGCTGATTTAAGAGCCTTAAAATACTACATAAGCAATTTATCACAGCCGACCTTGAAGATTAAAAATCCAAATGAAAAACATGATTGATTAATTTTTCTTAAATAAAGAAAAGCTTATAGCAAATGAACCTATTGCAATTATCTACATTAGGATTTCGTTAAACTAAAAAAAAATGTAGAATGGACCTTTATAAAGGTGATAGTTTATAAGTTCTGCTTTAGCTTTCAAGAAATTAACCTTCTTCTTTTTTTTAGAAATTCTAAAAAGTAGACATGGCGAATGAAGCTACACAAGTGTACACACAAATGTGTTTCAAACTTAAGGCTCGCAGGCGTATCTGGCCCATCATAGCAATTTATTTGGCGCTCAAGAGCCCAAAAAAGTCTGTCATTTCAAAGTAGAGCCACATCTTCTATTGAAGTCTGCAAAGCTGTTAAAACTGTGAAATAAATGAGTAACAGTCTAATATCAGAGAAGTGGGCTCTTTTTTAATCAAAATCAAAAATCCTATTTATAGATGTAAAACAGGCCCATTAAAGTTTTGATGATGCAGAAGTGGGCTGATATAAAAATGAAAATGCAGAAAATGTAAATGCAGAAAGAGAATGACAGATATTAAACCACCATTAGGGCCCTGAGATTTAAGGCCTGAACACACCAGTTGCATACGACTTTTTAATGTCTAATCCAATTTTTTTCCATGTCACACTGACTGCATGTAGAGATGGTCCGACAAGGCAGGGCGGCCAGATTTGCGCAGTTTTTGTATTTCACTTCTCTGCCTGTGTTATACAAATTGAAACAATTTCCCACATTTGCTTTAGACTGAATATGAAAAGTTATAAGAAAAAAACCATGGGTAAAACATTCTTTAATATGTCATTGATTGTTTTTGCCTGAGTTTGTTCCACTTACTATATAGCGATGTGCGACTCCAAAACTGACTGTTTCCCCATGACATTTAAAGATTTTATTTAGTATTTTCCCCCAAAGCGGATGCGTTTTACTTTGTAACCATGTCTCTCTTTCTGTCAGACCCGTGGAATTGCTGCTGAATTACTGCGTAGTCTGACTAAAATAGACCTGGGGTCTTATCTCAATCGGACCTACGCAAGCCCCCTTTGTGTAAAATCGTGTCGGGTGTGATCATCCCCACTGACTTTCAATGAGCGCTTTACGCCACAACCTTGTCAGACATGATTTTCTGTCGGATCTGAGTCATTAAGGATGATTTTATTGTAGGATGTGTGTGTTTGTTTTAGTTTTTACAAGTGAAAGCTCACCCTATTTGTACAACTAGCCGGCTGGTTGATGTCTCCCGTCGGGTTTAAAAGTTCTGCTGCAGTAAATCCTCCAACAAACTTTTACTTTTTCACCTTAACTTGTTATTTAAGTTCTTTTCAGCTTTTGCACGTCTTCACATTTTCACCCTCTGTTTCGATTCTCTGCTGTTCCTGTTCATTCGCTTTCAAGGCCAGAAGCGATGCCGATCAAACGTCCAGCTCGGCCTCTCGGAGCTGCCCAAAGAAAACCATTCTGCTACCTTCCTCCTCCTCCACTTCATCACTCTCTCTTCATTCAGAGGTGACATGAAGTCTGCTGTCTGTTTTTGTCTGTCAACCCCAAAAGTAACAAATCCTCAGCAGACTTCCCTTTAGCCTCCCATTAATCCCACTACCCTACGTTTGTCCTATCCAACAGACTCCTAAATCATTTCAGCTTCCTAACTCAAGATTTGAATGAAACAAATGATGATTTACCCCAAACTAACTTTGTAGAAAGATCCACAGTGATGTTAATTCCCAGGGATGTTGTATTGCATGTCGTTAGCTGAATACCTGCAGACTCAGGAGGGTCCAGTTTTCTGTAAATTAGTCGTTACAAAGATCGTGAAAAATGTCTCTTTGCTTGTTTCAAGAATTTAACTCCTGAGGAAGAGGAACTTGAATATTATCAAAGGCCTCTGGTACACAGGGTACAGTACTACACTTCTCTATGTTCAGCATTCTTTAAAAAAAACACTCAGCAAGTCTCAACTGAGCTCCTTTAACAGGAAGCGAAGCCGTTAACCACGAGCGACCCAGCTCCCATTCACATCCCTGGTATACAGGAGAGGGCAGACCGCCTCATCTCAAAGTTTAAGGGCAAAGCTGATAAACCACCGAAGGTGATCAGAATGCGTGGCAGATTTGACAGCATGCGTTTCTTTGGCCTCATCTGTTGCACGTATAAAATAAATATCTGCCATTTCTATTGATCTAATTTCCCATTTCCACCCCCCTCTGCCTCCCTGAAGCCTAAGAAAAAGCCGTCCCGTTTCTTTTTAGAGCAGTGGTACTCAACCCGAGGTCTGTCTCCGAGTCCCGCTGCACCTCTGTCCTCCCCAGATGCTTCTAGAAAGGTCAGCTGCCTGTTGTTGAAGAGGGAAACCCACCGTTTGCAGTGCTAACAGGATAGCATCTCACACAAGTCCTCCTAGAGAATAAAACCATTGATGTTTGCTCTTTTTCTTTTTACATTTTGAGTGAATCTATAGTTTAATATTTAGTTTTTTTTTCAATACATGCTTGTGAATGCATCGGTTACTCTCATTGTTTACATGCTCTGACTTAAATTATTGCATGAAGTAAAGCCATGAAAGGTAAAGACAAAGCTGGGCCAGTTTGAACCCCTAATGCACGCTTTTGGAACTAGATGTTTGAATTTTGGTCCTTTGCAGAAATAAAGATTCTTCCTTTTAGTTCCTATTTGTAACAAAATCAACAATCTTTCTGCAGGACCCAGTGAGGCCTCTGGACTCTGACCAGATGCCTATTTATGTGCTTAGCATTCAGGAGAGAGCCGAACAACTTGAATTTCAGTTGGAAGGCAAGCGAGTCGGGCCACAGGTGAATCTCTCCATTTAACACAAATGGCTGAGATAAATGTTTGAATTTATTTAGAAGATGGAATTGTTTGCCAACATCTTGGGCAGAAAGACTAAAATTCAATTCAGTTTATTTATATAGCACCCATTCACAACACATATCATCTGAAGGCGCTTTACAGTTCAACCAGATCATACAGTCAAATTGATTCAAAGTTTTCTATCTAAGGAAAACCAGTTGATTGCATTGACTCATTGACTCAAATACAATCCCTCACACTAAGCATGCTTGTAGCGACAGTGGAGAGAAAAACTCCCTTTTAAGAGGAGGAAACCTCCAGAAGAACCAGGCTGAGTGTGAGAGGCCATCTGCCGAGGCTCACTGGAGTTCAAGGAGACAGAAGCAGACATACAAAAAGCAACTGTAAAATGTGGCCCCATCCAGGAAACACACAGCCAGAGAGACAAGTACAGAGCCAGCTCCCATGTCAGAAGATGATGAGAGCACATCCAGCCAGTCACAGTCAGAGAAACAGGACCACACCGGAAAATAACCATAAAGTATTAAGATAAAAGAATCACATCGAGTCCTCAGAAACCACCTGAATGTAATGTCTTTAAAAGCGCTTCTGAACATGACATGCAAAATATAATGGCGTAAATTGATATAATATGTATTAAAATCTGCATCTTAAATTATAGATTGAATACGTATTTTTTCCACATATACCAAACCTATTAAAACTTCTGTCTCTCTTCTTGAGCCCAAGAAAAAGCCATCTCGTTTTTTCATGGAGCGATGGCACCTGGCCCGAGCCCAGAACCCCCCAGACCCCCTCCCCTCCTGCTCTAGACAGGTAGCCCTTTGCATCTGGAGGGCATGGATTGCTGTGGTGCTGACACACCGCCACTGCATTTTGTGTTTCAAGAAGACGCATCACCTCCATTAACTGCAGTATTTCTCCTAACATGACTAAATTCACTGTGGATGTTTTTACTGTTAAAAACAAAAACTGATCTGCATCCTGCTGAATATTAATTGTTGCTGTGATTAATATTTTTTTTATATTATACAGTGCCTGAAATTAAATTAATTTTACATTGAGGGGATTCAGTTAAAGCTCTGTTGATCTGTTTGCTCTGGTTGTTTGAAGCAAATTAATTTATCTGATGTTGCTTTAATCCCTTGAAGATGATCACAGATTTCGCTCCGGCCTGGTTTCAGATTAGTCGCACAGCAGGAACGAAACATAGAACGTGTTCCCACCTCATTCATCTTTCCTGATAAACTAACTTCTGATGCTATAAGGGATAAATATTGTGTCTAACAGGTTGAATGGGATGAAATATAATCCCGCTGCAGATTAATTCTGGATTCAAACCAAAGATGGTTTTAAATCATGATAAGCTGTGAACTTTAGCATCAGGGTACCAGTTTTATAACGCTTTTCAGTGTCTTAAGTCCTTGTTGATTGATGTCAGTTATTATGTATGTGAGAGAGTGAAAAATGCTGCTAAAACCCAGTATACAAATGGTAAATCTATGTGATCCGTTTCTATGGTAGGAGCACTAATCTCTGTATTATGGCTGACAGCAAAGGGAAAGCCTAACTTCAACTTCCTCTTCAATTTGCAAATATTACATAAAGTCTAAAAAAATAAGAGTTGAGCTAAAGTATAAAATTTGGTACATGTTGTTGCGTAGAACCAGCCTTGATAAAAAGCAGAAGTTGGATCTTTTAATCCATTACTGATTTTAAGGCCAAAAGTCCTTGGATTTGGAAATCTAGGTCCTGCAGGAAGTCTGGGTTAATCCAAGCCGCTGTAGTTCATCCATCAGGGAATCGACATCATGCCTTCCTCTCCTGTAAAGGATAATGGAAATGCCCATTTCATTTGGCCCATGGCCGACTGTTAAAATAAGCTATACATGCTTATATCACCATGGTAACACCAGCAAAATAGGCTGTTGATAAGAGACACCAGAACCAATGAGGCAAATGAGGTGAAGGTCAATGGGCTTCCTGCACACCTCAGCAGAACCACAGGCTGATCTACTCCATGCTGTGAGCCAGAAACAAGCTCTGGGTGTAGGTAGTGTCAGATTAATCCTGTTGCTTGTGCACCTTTTCCTGCAATACGTTTTCTTTCCACCCAACTTTCCTCTATAGCACTCTGTAAACGTTTGATCTCTTGGAGAGTGACCTTTTAATCCTTATGGCTGCTGGACATCTATTGAGTTGGCTGTCCTCCCTGTGATTATCTCGGATTAACCATAATATTTCTACATTAGAAATACTTAAAATCAGTCTTAAGTCAATTGTAGGTTTTCTGAAAAGCTTTTTGGGTTTTCATCGCTGCAGATGATCATGATGATGATGATTTACATGAATACAGAATTTCTGGATGTTTCTTTTAGATTATGTCTCTCATAGTGGACATGCACCTGCAATACGATGACAATTCCAGACCCCTCCATGATTTCTAAGTGGGAGAACTAAATAGCAGGGTGTTCGAATACTTATTTTCCTCACTCTACATACTTTCACATGTTGGCGTGCAGAGCTTCTGTTTTGGTGTTTTTTATGTGCTGTTTGTTTGCACCTTGTTTAGTGAGGCGGATGGAGCTCCACTTAATGCTTGATCAATCAAACATGGAAATGCTGCTTTGTCATGTGTGAAACTACTAGTTTCCCCCTCCATCATGCCTGCAGCCATCCCTCCTCCCTCCGTTCATCATGTGCATTCCTTTACTGCTGTCATTTCTAATGTTTGTTTCATTTTCCTCCTCTCTCATGCTGTTGATAGCACTTTGTGAGGATGTACACAGGAGGAGTTAGCACACTGGCTGAGCAGATAGTCAGCCAGCTTCAGTCTCAGGAAGAATCCAAACCCACACATGTACCTGAAAAGAGGGATTTGGTAAGCACGCTGTCTGTAGGGTAGGAAGCAGGCAGCCGCGCCTGCCTTTGTGTTGTGGAGAATTCCCTGTGCTCAGTGAAGCGGCTGATCAAACCCTGAATGTGTGTTTGCTAATCATTCGCCCACAATCAGAACAGATGAATAACCTTTTGGTGCTTTTGATTAGAAAGGATGTTAGTGCTTCAAACTGTCCGGAAAGGATCCGATCCCATAATAACCCCACTTTTCCTTGGTTCTCTAACGTCGCTCCTCTTCTGTGTTTTCTATAATCCTGTCAGCTTATTGTTTTTTTTCCTTCATTTTCTTGCAGGGTTCTCTCAGAAAAGAGTTTCCCGTCAACATCGGAGGCAGCGACGTCTGCTTCTTCTGTCGGAAGCGTGTCTACGTCATGGAGAGGCTGAGCGCAGAGGGGAAGTTCTTCCATCGCAGCTGCTTCAAGTGTGACTATTGTGGAACAACTCTGAGACTCTCCTCTTACGCGTTTGATGTTGAGGATGGTGAGTCAAACCTAGAGTAGCATTATGCTGTTAGATGCACACCCATTTTAACAAACAAGCAATTTAAGATGCTGCTGATTCTTCCTAAGAAGTCACAGAGTTTTACATTTGGTTCTTTGTATCATCAAAGGTGAGCGTCCATTTAAAGGCTGTTACCTTATTTATGTTTAGACTTTGTGCAAGAAAAACTAGCACAAAACTATATAAAAATTATGGGATGCAGTCAGTTGCTGTTGGTTTTTCGGCAGCTGCTGCATGAGGACCTAAAACGGCTCCAAATCAGATTCTGCTTCAGGTCCCAAATAATTTTTTAAACCACCCAGTTTTGGATTATTAAGCTAGAGGTGAAAAAAAAAACTTTTACTACAAGAACTAGAAAAAGGATTACCTAACATCAATCAAAGGTATGCTTCATCAGATTTTAAACAGTGCACCTCTGCTACCATCTAGTGGTGTTTTTAGGCAGTACAGACAAAATGGCTTAAAATTGTCTCGTAGTTCACACTCCCTTATCAATTCCAGGTTATAAATCATTTCGAACTCAAAAATAAATCAAGCAAGAACCCTTATTATTAATTCAGAATACCAAACAATAATATAATCTAGTAAAATAATAAATTAAATAAGCTGCAGGAGAGTGGCAAGTGCAGCTACCCAGATTAAATTTAACCTTTGGTTCTCAGTTCTATAATGTTTGTTTGACACATAACCACAAGAATACCATGGTAGCAGTGAAACATGGTGGAGGCAGCATCATTCCCAGTTGGACCTGGTGTCTATCTAAAGGTGGATGAAGCAATGAACTGATAACACCAGTTTGGACCACAAACCTTCATATGCCTGCTGGAAAGTTCAAAATAAAGTTTATTTATTTGCTATCGCTGCAAAGCTCAAATAAGCATCCAGATTACCAGAAGAATCTCATGGAGGGTGTGGATTGTACAGATGTGTCCGGAGACTTTTATCAGGCCTGTTTTCTTTAAATAAAAATTCGGAAAATAAAATAAAAATGGAACTTTAAGGTATAGGGGAGGATATTTGCACATTTTTTAAAAGACCTACCCTCTCCACTAAAAAAAAACTGCACATGCCCAACCCTGTGCCCGCTGCTGAGAGGGAACTACTTAAACATGTGCGAGAGCGTGCACGAGCCCATTTCTCCTTGTGCACGCTCTGTTTAAAAGTTAGTGTTCTTATAGCTCATACACGCTTACTGTGTCCGAACGTCCGCCCTAACCTCTAAATCGCTCAATCACTATATAGAGCGGGGACTTTATAGTGAACTTTGTAGCAAACTCAGTTAACTGACCGTTTGGACAGATGATCACTGCGAGATGATCACTGCTTTTTGCTTGCCGTTGGTCGCGTAACTCCTCCTGCATTGCGCAGTGCCTGCACAATCTTTGTTTTTAGTCGCTGCTGTCAGGTAGCAAAAGCGGGCCGCTGTGACAGCAAATCCCATAATGCTTTGCGAGGAGAGCTCTCTTTGCAAAAGAATCCGGGATACATCTGCCTCCTCTGAGGAACTTTTCTTATATACCTCATAGAAACGTTTTTTCCTCATGACCCAAGGTTTCCATTGTGCTAAAGGACAGACACCGGATTGTTTAGCGGGACAGAGCGGCTGTGGGACTGCAGCCCACTGAGGCTCTCAGCTGAAACACAAAGCTCTCCTCTTTTATTGAAATTTGCACACATTCTTCTACACAACCTTTGCCTTTGTTTAGTCTTTTGCCATTGTTTTACATTTCTTTACCTTTATTTGTATCTTTCTGATAGGTAAATTCTACTGCAAGCCTCACTACTGTTACCGTCTGTCCGGATACGCCCAGAGGAAGAGGCCTGCTCCTTCTGCTGCTCCAGTCTCAACTAAGGTGCCTCCTATTTTCTATTTTTCTGCATATAATAATTCAGTTTTACACCTTATAAAATCTATAAAGAGAGCCAGTTTCTATCATGAGAAATCCCACTTTCTGTGGCTCGCAGGAAAACCAGACGCCCCAAACTCCCACATCGACCGTGGATGCCCCCAGCAGGGGGCCGGCGGCTCCTCCCTCGGCAGACATCCAGCCCTCAGGTACCCGATTTTCCTCTGTAGATGTGGCGGCTGTGTCCTGCCGTCTGGCCGTAGGGGTGGGAGTCCGTCTGCGTGCCGTCCGCCGTGCCCTCTCCTGGACTTGCCACCAGGTGGCACACAACCCCTTAGATTCTCCCTTCCTTTACACCTACTGCATCTACCTCTTCTGCTGTTTCACAGTCAACGTCCTCCTGAACTTTCTCTAGCATGAAACCCTTGATTTGATTTCAGTTTTTTTCCTATTTGTTTTAGTCTCTGCTGACTAATGTGTGGAAGAGTTTGTAGAACCAAGGTTTACTAACTGAACTGGATGTGCTCATGTTATTATTTTTTTTATTTCCTCTCTGTGATTGTTTTATTTCCTGAAAATGCATCATCCACAGCTCCCTTTACTAATTTAGGATCTGTAATTGGCATGAGAAGTTAAAAAGAGGTCTTGCAGTATAATTTTAAAGATGAATGATGCATCGTGAATCTTTTTCCCTCTTTTTTTTTTTTAATCCTTGCTTAGAAATATAGATGAACTTATCAGAGCTGCTGCTGAACAGCTCTACAGGCAGCATGCTCAGCTTAAAATCACTCCTCCTCAGCTTTCTCCTCTAGATTATAATAGATATATAGATTATAATTCTTGAGTAGTAAACTTTAAACCCTACACTGGTTGTGACTTCCTGAAGGTTCAACCTCAGATCCCGTCTTTTGTGATTGTAACCTTTTTCAGGCTGTGACTGCTCTTCTTTTAGCACTGTCTCCTCCTGTGATGTGTTTACTTTCATGCCTGCTGTGTGATTTTTCTCTGTAAGCCGTTTTGCACCTGATCTTTTCCCAACCCTGCTGTATAATAGTGCCTGTATCAGTGCTTTTGTGAGCTTTACCTTTCCCCCTCCTAATGGAGCATCTTAAAACTGAGAGTTTTTTATCAGTGCTTGAAGTAGTTCCTGTGATTTTGATCCTTTTGTTCTTACAAGCTTCCAAAGCCGTTGGCCTCCTGCCAAGCTGCTCTTCAGAACCACTTATTTCTGCTTAATGCAGTATAACATTTCTGTGTTATTAGATTTGCATATTAAATAGCACAGTGCTTAAGAGAAACTGCAGCTGAAATATGGACACTTAATGGAAACAATAGAATCTAAACATAAGAACTCGTTAAGGTTTGTTCAAACCCCGTTCCATTTGTTATAACTGAATAAGTACGTTTCTGACAGGTCGATTAGATCTTTGCTGTAACATTTTTTCTTAACAATAAAGCTTAAGCTATTGAAAATTTTTATTTCCCACAAATGAAAGCTTATTAGTGAGGAAAATGCATTTCAGGGTTAGCATCAGAGTTGGAGGTTGCATCTATGAGTAAATCTTCCTGGCTGGCTTCTGATCACCAGCTTGGTCAGACACGGCTGTGGGACGGCCTCCCATCATTCAGCCAGCTCTGATGCAGCTAAGTTCATGCCACGGGTGTTCAGTGCGGAGTTCAGATAAACCTAGCTGTGCAAGGTTAAAGTTCAGCCCTCTAAGGTTGGAGAAGATTGATAATCTCATCTGGATATGTCTCTTTTCCAGTGAAGAAGAGCCGCCTTAGCATCATCACACCTCCATCACAATAACTCTGTTAAAGAGTATTTTACAAATTCTTCATCTGTGCAACCTACAAACTCCAAACTCTGCTGCACCAGCAAATTTCTTTTCCTTATAAATCCGGAGCCGTTAAAGCCTAAATTATTAAGCTTCTTTACATCTTTTGGTATAAATAAAAAATGTTGGGCCCTGTAAATAAAATAATAGAACGTAATAATAACAGTAATTTAATTTAACATTAGAGTTTAGATTTAAAGGAATCACTCAACCTCTAAAGCAGTTTTAGATGACATTATAATATAATAAAGTTAGATATTTATAACCTTGAATTATTTAGAGTAGAAATTTTAGAATATTTTAGATTTATTTTCATTTAAATGTGTAGATTTAAGGAACTGTTCATGCAAATAATTGGAAAACTGTATATAAAGATGTATTATACTATAAATAGTATATCTTCTTAATTTTTTTTTTTTGATTAACTCTGTTTTAGCATGTTCCAATAACATGCTAAAACTATGAGCTAAGAAAAATTATGCATTATTATTCCAGCTTTATTAGCAATAGTTAATAATACTTGTGTTGCCGCATGTGGTATTTTTCAAATGAAAATATTTAGATACTTAAATCTTCTCAGAAATTTCACTGTTAGTCTTTGCTGCTTTAATAAAGTTGGATTTATTTAATTCTTTCAATAAGTCTTATCAGCAGAGCAAATATCTCTGAGGGCTCTTTATGTTGGCAAATAGAGACAACCTGTTGGTCAGAAACTGAAAAATCGTACGTTTTTGCTAAGCAGTGAATGCACCTTACCTAAGCTCTAGGACAGGAGTTTCCAAATGGGCCCTTAAAGGCCGTTTTCCTGTGGGGTTTAAATGTTTATATCCTTCAGGAAGTCAGATTGATGGTAAAGCTGTAACTAAGGAAATAAGAAAATCTTTCTTTGGTATCACCCAGGCATTCAAAATGAAGTCTGAAGCTGTTGAACGTCATTTTACTCCTATAATACTTTAAATGTTGTTTTTAAAATGTGTCAGTTTTTGTGTTGTTAGAAGTGATGAAGAGATCACAGCTTTTTATTGCTCACATCACACTAAAAACAACCCAGTATGAAAGGTTCCTTGTGTTTCACCTCTTTCCTGAACACTCTGTTCATATCCTTAGTGGATGAGCTTTGACCGACGCATCAGAACCTTGTTTTAGTTCACAATGAAATCACAGTCAGTGTGATCTGAACAGTTTTAAGGTTTCCTTTCAGGATGGGATTAAGGCAAGGCACCAGCCTTGTGTAATGAACTGTAGCATAGATAACTGCAGTCTGTTAAAACAATGTATTGGTGTTTAATTTTGCTATTGATATAATAAATTCAATAGCAGATGCAAAATCGGTGTGTCCTTGTTGGTTTGTCCTTACCGTGGTTTGAAGAGTATTGCCCCATTTATACTACCCTCTGAAAACCGATCCTTGGCGACCATTTACACACCGCGCTGGCACGGTTCCTCGCCTCCCAGTGGCGATATACGGTACTACTGCTACCGTAACAGTCAGGAAGTTATGTTTGCTTATAATTGTGATATTTCGTTGTTTGCGGAAAGTCAGGCGAAAAAGGAAGCCTTTGGTGAAATTAACTGACAGAGTCGGGTTTGGGAAGTGGATATGACAAACGATAGTCTAATCAGGGCTTAAAGATGCAGGAAACAATGACAACTTTGAGGCTCATCGCACTGCTAAGCAGAATTATCACTGGAAATGATGTAGCACAGTAGGGAAGCTAGTATTTTTTATGAATGTCAGAAAGTTCATGATTACGGAGGCTGACTGTAAGGAGATGACGTGATCTGCTCACGCTCTCTTTGTTATCTGAGATCCGAGCCTGAACTAAACCTCGCCGAGTCTGGAACGGTCCAGTTCAGTTGTATGTGCCATTTACACTCAACAGTTATCTGGGTTACCGTGCTCGGACCGCTCTCAGCACGGTTTTAAAAGCGTAGTGTAAATGGGGCTTATGAATCGGATGTAAACAGCTGGATTCACATCATCAAGATGCACAAGCATCTGAAGAGCTAGAGAAGCTAAAACATTGACACAATCTTGCATGGATCCTTCTCCTCTCTCCTGCATCCAGTTGATTCTCAGCCGTGTATCTTTGCTCTCTCTCTCTTCTCTCGACTTCCTTCCCTGCACCTTTCCACCCGTCTGCGCTCCGTGGTTTCACCCTGGGGTCTCCGTTTAATGCCGGACTACAGCACTGGAAGTCAACGGCCTGCAGGAGCCCAGTTTAGCAAAGCGGCTCCGGGGAACCCCTGAGCGGATCGAGCTGGAGAATTACCGGCTGTCCATTCAGCGGGAAGAAGACCTGGAGGAGGTGCCAGAGGAGACGCTGGCAGAACACAACCTCAGCAGTGTGTTGGATAAAGCCACAGACGCTGATCTGGGCTCCAGGTAAGGAGAATAAAACACAGATTCTCTTTTTTTGGGTGGTTTTTGTCTTTGTCCTCATAGTTTGGCGGCTGTTTTGTTAGCAGTAGCTCAGAATCTGACATGGAGGAGGAGGATGAGCAGGAGGATCAGGAGGAGGCGGAGGAGCAGCCTCTCAGCCCTTCGGACCTCGGCGGCGTTCCCTGGAAGGAGGCCGTGGAGCTTCACGCCAAACTACGTGGCGACGGCGAAGAGTTGGAAAGTGAAGCTCTGGCTGATGCTGTCAGCAGGGATGGAGACGGGGAGGAAGATGAGGAAGAAGAGGAGGATGGGGAGGAAGAAGATGAGGATGAAGAAGATGAGGAAGAATCCAGTGATGGTAAATATATATATATATATTTTTTTTTTTATATGATCCTGTTTGTTTGTTTTTTTAGCTTTAAATGTTCCTTCACTCTGTTCCTATGAATGTTTACATCCTGTTCATTCTGTTGCCGGGACAACCCCCAGTGCCACCTGCTCTTTGTGAAAAGAAGCTATTTTTTTGTCTAAATGTCTCCTGCATTGCTTTCTTCATCCTCTTGGCCTCTTCTCACCCCTCCATCCTGGTCTCATCCCCTGTCTGTTCTGTGTGTGTATTTTTTTGGGTGTTTGTCTCCCCCTGCTGTCAGAGGGGGATTACTGCCCCTGGGACAGGGAGCTCCTGTCAGGTCTTTGGCTGGAGAGGCACCTCACAGATGAAGAGGATGTTGGTAAATTCAAAGGTAGCAACAGACCTGCTTGCGCTGCTGTTTGCAGTAACCTTGAATATGACTTATCTCTGGCTGATCTCCGTTTGGTATCAAACGCTTTTCCACACCAGGCGCTCATTTTCTTTGTTGCAGTGTGGTTGTTTTTGTTGTGGTTTGTTGGTTTAAGTTGTGTGTTTTAAAGGATTGTTTTGTTTGCTTTTGATAAAAAAAACTAGGCATGGGCCGGTCAACATCTGAGGAAGCGCTAAAACTCTTCATAATCACTGTTAATAACATAACAGAGTTGTTATATTAACACCTTTTGCTTCACACTGCAGGTGAGCCGACTGAAAGAGAAACTCTGTCACCAGACGCAGCGTCTCACTAAGGCTGTGTTTACATTTCAAAATGCTTTACATAAAAGCAGAAGAAAAATAAATCAAGTAAAGATAAAAAGATCCTCTGGAAGATTGTTCCAAAAAAGTGCAGCATAGGAATTTTGCTTTTTTTGTTGTTGTCCATACACCACCCACATTTTTCACTGCAGTCTGAACAGCCCAAATCAGATCTTTCTACCTAATAAGAAATCAATTTTGCACCACTTTTGATATACAGTATGGTTCCAAACTGGATACAGCTGATGTTATTTTATCCTGCTTTAACCATTGCACTGATTGCCACTGCATACTTCCACACAGATGTCCTTGGTTTCCTTAACCGTCCATTTAGTTGGTAGCAAGCATTAAAATAAAAAGTCAGATTTCAGTAAAAAATAATCTAAAATGTGTATCAAAACAGGCTGAGGGAACATCGCTTAGAGGAATTTACTTTTTCACAACTAGAGTCAGCAATCTCTGAGGAACATGTCTTTTTATTTTCTCTCTGTTTTTTTTGTTTGTTTGTTTTTGTTAATTTTTGGTCCTATTTTGCCAATATGGTTCTGGGAATATATGTCCCAGAGATAGATGATAGCCCAACAGCTTTGCTTTCACAAGCAGACCATTATGACTGTTACCATAAGGTTCTATTTGATACTTGCTTATGAAGCTACAACGAACATGGAGACAAAAAGGGAGGTGAGAAAGGATGAGGGGAGAAGAACTAAGGTATGACAGGAAAGAGTGCATCGAAAGAGGGGAAATAAAACAAAACAGCAAAAACAGATAGCAGACAACCAAAGTAAATATTAAAAAAAACGGGATAATATGTCTTTAATTAGACGATGACAGGTGCGTCCACAGCCGGTAGTAATAAACTGGCTAATGTTACCAAATGTTGTGTTGATCTTAAAAGAGCAGAACACTCCCCAACAACTAAAGACAGCTGTATTTAACATTGCTGTTCAATTAACCCTTCCTTTAAATGATACCACACATTGAGTGGGTTAATCCTCTCACTGCACCACCAGTGACTGACGTCTTGAGAAGCCGCCTAGATTTCAAGATAAAGCATAAGCCATGATTTTCAGATTTAAAACCAAACCATTGTTTCTGATACTGGAATTAATCATAGCTAATTGCTCAGTTCGCACTTTATTGTCTTTGAAAAGTAGAGAACAAGACAATCATTACAGCCCTGCTTTGACCTGGAGAAAGTTTTCAGCTGTGAAGGTTTTAATTAAAACAAACAGGCAGTCTGAGCAGACCTGCAGACGGACAGAAGTAGAAAAATCCTTGAGTCCAAAGAAAACTGGCCTCTTTCCAAAACATCCCACACTAATAAAACAACTCATGTCCAAACACTGTTGTAGCCTTGCAGGTGCGAGACGGCCTGAGCAAGTGTGTTTTTGTCAAAGATAAACGAACGCTTATCTTTATTAAAATAGAAGAATTTAAATCCATCTTTGGTTTCACTTTTCTTGCCGTTGTGCAGAATAGAGCTCCTACCGAGATACAGCCTAGTCATTGTTTTATAGCGCTGTGAAACAGAATTAAAGTCAATTTATCGTCAGATAAAGCTTGTAACGTTAACAGATATTCATTTAATAAAGCCAGAGGGACGTGTTCTAAATGATGACAAGGCAGCTGAACTGATCTGTTAAAGGTCCATAGAGGGGGAATTCTGACTATGCATCAGAACATGAACCATTAAATCTCTAAAACATCTCTATGAATTGAGGATTTAATGCCTCTTTCATTGCAGATGGCTGTAAACATGCAAAAATTCTATTTCAATTCAATTTAATTTATTTATATAGAGCCAACACATGTCATTTCAAGGCACTTTAAAATTCAACCAGATCATACAGTCAAACTCATTGATTTGAAGGCAATCACTCACACTAAGCATGCTTGTAGTGACAGTGGAGAGGAAAAACGTCCTTTTAACAGGAAGAAAGCCTCCAGCAGAACCAGGCTCAGTGTGAGCGGCTATCTGCAGAGGCCGACTGGGTTTCAAGAAGACAGAAGCAGGGATACAAAAAGAAGCAGGGATACAAAAAGCAGCTTTAAACCATCTCCACAGGCGGCCCCGTCCAGGAAACACACAGCCAGGCGGACAAGCTCAAAGCCAGCTCCCATGTCAGAGGATGAAGAGAGCACATCCAGCCAGTCACAGTCAGAGAAACAGGATTACACTGAAAAACAGGCCCATCTCCAACATCTATAAACGGGTTTTGATGGCAGCAGCACAGTTGATATTCCTCTCCAGGATGGAGTCACAGCCGAACAGGAACAGACGCGATGAAGCTACTATGAGGAAAAAGAAGAGAGAGCATAACGTTAGAGATGAACTAAAAAATTCTGCAGATTTGGAGAATAGAGATAGATTAACAGTAATTACAACTTTATTATCGTTGGACAAAATCAGCTGTGGACAATTTTAGATTAATTCTACTGAATAAAGCTGAAGAAACTGTTGAGTTCAGAGGTTTGTTCTCTATATTTTTCCTTTAGACTTTGACCAAATCAAAGCAACTATAAATGAATGTAAAATATTACATTTTTCTTTTTTTTTCTTACTGCCTTAATAGCCTTAAAGTCTTTAGTTCTCTTTAAATGAACCAAGTAATTACGCCATTATTGGGTGAACAGAATAAGATGGGTTGTTTTTTCCTCCCAGGTAGTCTCTGGCCGGCCCATGCCTACTGCAGACCATTTAACCTGCTTATTAAAGCTCAGGTTTTGATTTGGCTCTGAAGTGTTAATCTGATAAATTCCACAGACTCCTCCAGGCACTACAGTTATGATCTCTATTGATCGCCAGCATCGCTGTATTAAACAAATGGCCGTTTCTTTTTTATTTTTTACTGGCGATTTTATCATTATGTTTGAGGGTTTGAAATTTGGGCAGTGTGTGAACGCATGCAGACTCCCTTTAACTTATCTATAAGGTGGTAGTTCTACCTGCTGAGTAACTGTCTCTGCCTTTTTTCTCTCTCATTTCTTCTTGTCTTTTTCCCGTCCATCTTTCTCTGAACCCTCTTGCATATCTGCTGTTGTCTACTCTTCCAACCATGCCACTCATTACTAAAACACAACACAACAAATGTTTAGTTAGGAACATACAAATTCAACAAATGCTGCAGCCCGTGGATCCCAACGCCATTCCCAGTTTGGTACGAGTGCGGTCGGACTCTGAGGGAGACCCGGACGGCTCGCTGGGCACGGCCCTCCGACGCTCTCAGCCCTCTGAGCTCACACAAGCCTCCCCCACAGGTAACCCACCCAGAGGTGCTGCAAACCGGACACAGACAGGGGCCCCGAACTGATTTCATGGTGGCTGTTCTGTTTGTTCATCTATATGTGTGACAGGAAGACCCATCTCTTCCACTAACCAAGCTGCTACTTTAATGACCTCTGATTTTGTACATTTCTGTGTTATTATTGTTTTTCTTAGAATGTCTAATTTTGTGTTGAGTCTTTAATTTTTCCCCCAGAGTTGCTGTGTTTCTAATGTTCTGCATCCATGTCCCGGTGCACCATATAACCCCCTCTGAGTTTCTTTGATGTTCTTTTTAATTTTGTTCTGCTTTGTTCTATTGTGTTCTTCTATGTTCTTTTCCCATTTGTCTAATTGCTTTGCCATTATTTCCCCTGCCATCCATGTGTTGTCCTTCTGGTTTGAGAGTAGCCCCTGCCCACACATCCACCCGACATGAGGCAGTGAGAGTCTGGTTGGAGTCCTTGTCTGGAGGTAGCACAGACCTGAAAGGGGCCTCGGTCCCGTCTTAGACTCATGTTTTTATCTTTCTGTCGGCTGGCCTTTTCTTGCAGCATGCAGAAACGCATAGAGAGCTGTTACCTCACAAGCATGCACACGGTCAGGCTTTTGACCTCACTGCTACCGTTGATCAGATGAGCACCTTTATTTCACTTTTACTACCAAAGAACCTCATTTCACTCTTTGTCTTGGCCTAATCCATGTACTGTATCTCAGATAAATGCTGTGTCTCACAGAATGAGCTACTGAAGCTTGAAACTTTCTAACATTTGAAGTATTTTCACATTATGACCACAAAAAATTTATTTTATGGGGGTTTTATGCGACTGATCAACACGAAACGACACATAATTGTGATGCTAAAGGAAAACGAAACACCTACAGGTCCTAATGGGTTTCTTTACTCCTGATTAGTCATAGTGGACTGAGATCAGAACCATTCTCAAGTCTTGCCAAAGATTCCCCATTGGATTTTTATCTGACTTTGACTGAGCCATTCTAACACAAATGGAAATGATTTGATCTAAATTAAGTTTATTTATATTGCTCCAATTCACAACACATTTCATCTCAACGCATTTTGCAGAGACAATTGAACCAGATCATGCAGCCAAACAGGAACAGACCAGATGAAGCACAACGTTTGAGATTGAAACTAACAAATTCTGCAGAGTGGGAGAATAGAGATCAAATGAAGCAGAATGATGAAAAGGGGTCCCTATGTCCTCCAGCAGTCTAAACCTATAGCAGCATAACTATAGAGAAAACTCAGGATAACCTGAGCCACTCTAACTATAAGCTTTATCAACCTCTCTACCCTTAAAAGTAGAGAGGTTGTCTGCCTTACGGATTAAAACTATGAACTGCCCTTAAAAGCTTGTGTGCATGTGGAACTGTTTAAATTGATGAACTCATAAAGCTTCTTATGAGTTATACTAAAAACGGAAAGAAACCCAAATCTGTGGGTGGTTTTCTTACTGGGTGAAATCCATCCATCTTCCTGTTAAAGGTGGTTGTAGTTGCTGAAGAAAAACTTCCAGCCATCATGATGCTGGTTTGGTTTTTCAGAACAGATGACATTTGACATGGAAACCAAATTATTCAAATAACCAATAACTAAGTAGAATCTGACTTTTAGTTGCATTGAATTTTATTTGGATGTAAGCCAGCCAGCAAAACACTCCACACTTTCAGGTTTATATTTAGAGGATCATTTTCTTACAATTCATCCTTTTTCTTTCTCCTCACGATTCTTCTCGATATTATGTTGGTTCCTTAAAACCCCCCCAAAATCCACAAATATAAAAAGGTTAGAATGTGAAAAAAAAATGTGTACTATGATGTATTTACATATTTTTTGCAACGTCTTTGTTCGTTTTTCCATTTTGCTATGGATCGTCCTATTAGACACTGACTGTTCAGATATTTGTAGACTAACTTCTCAGTCTTACTTATATGTGCATAAACTTAACACTATAAACCTCTTGGAGTTCTTTATATGCTGCTTAAAAGCATGAATAACTAAAATGAAGGTGCTTGACTCATCTGCATTGAGCTGGAGAACACCTGCTGGGTAGAGAGCAGACTCAGTAGGATAAGGTTGCTGCAGATCTTTGCATTCACATGAACACAGATATGGTTTAGTGCAACTTAAGTGTGGGTTAATATGAAAATGATGACTTTTTTTCCTCGCTTTAGGTTTGCTTCCTTAAAAATAATGCCTTTTACATTTAACAGACATGATTAACATATTAATTACGTTTTCCTCAGACTGACTTTACCCCTTTTTTTTTTAAAAAAAAAAAGGACTTTTGCATGAATCTTTATTACTAATGTCTCCATGTGGTTTTCCTTTGTTCATATTACTGACAGACTATTACACTGTCATCTGAGCACTAAACTTTTCATAGGCACATCAATTTCCAAGTGCTATATGAAGTAAAATGGATTTTGGCATTGAAGTCTATTCATGCTCTTTCAATGATTTATTTCTGCACTCCCATTTTTATTTTCAAATTGATCCCAGTAGCTTTGGAGCTGTCTGTCTGAAATTCCGAGAAAAGTTCATTCAAGCTCTTAGGCTGTCAGTGAATTGGAAAAGTTCTCACCCATTATTGACTTCAGACAGCATGTAATGGACAGATTACTCATTTTTCTCCATTTTGATTTCATATCAGAACCGTGTGAAGATGAGGAGCTGGAAGCTGAAGCAGACAGTCCAGATATGGAGCCTGGTACAGAGCTGGATCAAGGTAAAAAAAAAAAAAAAAGGGCCTATCTGATATCTGTCCATGTCTAATGTATACAAAATACGCAAGTCTTTCTATCTAATCCCAAAAGTGCAAAGATATGTGGCAGTAAATTACCACTTGTTATCGCTTTCTAAGATGTTGGAAGATCCTGCGTTCCTTAGCAGCGACCTGATCAGAGAGGGAGGAGTTCTTCCCCAGTAATTGAATTAGATCAGAACCAATCTGTCAGAATATTTGGAGTTTAGCACATTACTAACCACTAAAAACCAAAACAGTAGTGACATATAAACAAATAGAATCATAATTTTCCTGCTAAAAAGGCTTGAAATACATAGATTTCTGGAGATTTTTAGACTTCATTTATAGTTTAGGGCAGTCTCTTTGTTGTTTAGTTGCAGTAGCGTGCCTCTACTGACACATCTGGAGCAGATTTAATTCATTTTTTATAGCTTATGGAGGAGCATTATAAGATTTTATGTAGATTTATTATTAGACGAGTGCTAATGAGTCCAATGCACAGTTTGGTAAAATCTGGTCAGCTCTCAGTGCTTGTTAGTAACCCTGTGTTTCACCTGATTCCAGAGGACATTCCTTCAGATGCAGAAGCTGAAGCTCGGTTGCACCAATCGGAGCAAAATGATGCTCCTCCAGAGGAAAACAAGGACACAGAAAGTTTGGCGAGAGACTCAAGTATTGGTACGATATCCAAGTTATTCATTGTAGTTTATGTGTTCTACTCTGAGGTATTTACCTTTATGGAACCTTTTCACTTTTTTTTTTATATATCTATTTTTTTTATTGGGTCTTTATGTCAAAGACCAACAACAAGTAGTTCAACTTTCTGAAGGTTTTTAATTTAGTTTTTTTTTAAGAAGAACTTGAAAGAAACTAAAATGTGTTTTTTGCCTTTATGAGTTTCCTGCACACTAAGGCTGAGCTTGATCAGTTTAGGAAAGACGAGAATCTTTGTTAGGATTAAAGCAGAAAAACTTTACTTTTACTGGGCTATTTTAAAACATAAATCTGGTTGGATCTAAACCGATTCAGTGCAGCTCTGGCTGAATGTTTAGGATCGTTCTCTTGCTGGTGGAAGAAACTCCACCTTTAAGCCTTTAAATGCCTTTCAAAGGTTTTCTTCCAGTTGTCGGCTCCATCCATCATATCTCAAACTCAGTCTGGCTTTACTTTTCCCGTTTGTAAAAAGAAAATGTCCCACAGCATGATGCTGCGATTGTGTTCATTATAATGTAGGTGAAACGGCTTCATTCTGATCTCATCTGAGCAGAGCAACTCCTGTTATTTGAAATCCAGGGAAGTTTGTGTTTATGGGAAGTTATGGGGTGTGAGAGGTGGAGTAATAAATCTCACTGTTCTTGTTTGGGAATTTAGAGCCATCCAGCGTCAGCCCAGTGATGAAGGATGATATCGTTCTTTCTCCACTCAGACCGTTGGCTGAGCCTGAAACCCTGGTAAGACAGCTCCACTTTAAGGTAAAATGATGGGATCTTTTCTAGAGAATCTTTAACCTTCCTGTTCCTCCAGATAACTCCAGGGAAGTCTCCCAGCGTCCGTTTCTTTCCCGATCCCTTCTTACCAGAGGAAGAGAAGCCTGAGAAGATAGCTGTGTCCCCTGCTGCCAGGAGCCCACTCAGCCCTTCTCCCACTCCGCCGTCATTTTCAGCTCCTATCCAGTCTCCCACTCCTGCCACGGCGGCTAACCCTATCAGGGGTCCCTCCCCCACCTGCTCTCCTCTGGTCTCAAACGCTGCATCAACCTCCGCCTCTCCAGTGAAACCAGCCAGTGAGTCACCTGTCAGATCGCCAATCAGGTCGCCGCTCAGCTCCCCGATCTGCTCCCAGCCCAGCTCCCTACCAGAGCAGCGCACTCCTAAATCTCCAGTCTTCCCTCACCGCTCCATCTGCCCTCTGACGGGGAACCCCCTCTCCCCGATCTGTGCCCAGCCTCTGCCCTGCCAGGAGCCCTCGTCGTCCCTCACCTCCGATTCCCCCGTCAGAACTCAGCCAGTCCCTGCTGTCAGCTCTACGCCCATGCCATCCGGTGAGCCCTCCACGTCTGCAGACTCATCAATCGAGGAAAACTCATCTAAAAAGACAGATATCATTGAGGAGTTTTGGTTAAAGAGTGCTGAGATTCGGAAAAGCCTCGGCCTTACTCCCTTAGACCGTAGCAGTAAAATCTTGGAGAAGAGCGCTGCTCAGACTCCTAAAACGGACCCCATACCCACGAGGACACAGTCTGCGAATGTTCCCGAGGAGCCGAAACCCGCTTTTACCGGCCGCACTGTCATCCGCAGGCTCAACATCACTCTGGAGGGTCAAGTCATCACTCCGATCACCCCTGCTGCAGCCAAGAGCGCCGTCTCTGTGACGGACGTGAGCAGCAGCTCGGGTTTGAACGGAAGCACGGCCAGGAGCGAAATGGCAAACAGCGACAGCTACAACACAACTGATTCCACCATGCTTACCCCGCCCTCCAGTCCACCGCCCCCCGTCCCTGCCAACCAGTCTCCAGCCGTGCTCAGGCAGCAGAGACACCAGGCGTCTTGGAGCAACGGGACGGAAAAGCCTCCGTCCAAACGTGCCAAAGAGCCGACCAGAACCAACGCTCCAGTTCCCGCCCCCAGAACACAGCTGAGCCCCATTTCTAGGAAACCGTCCTCCCCTGAAGCGGCTCCACCAGCTGCTCCGGTGGTGGTAATGAGGGAGAAGAAAAGGCAGCCTCGACCGGCTGAGGTGAGAAAATCTTTTGTGGAAACAGTTGAGGAAATCCCTTTCGCCGACGACGTAGATGAGACTTATGACGAGCGAACGCCAGAAACCAGCTTGAACAAGTATTACACACCGCCCACCAGCAGGCCTAGCAAACCTCCGCTGCACCTGGCCTTAGCCATGGAAAACGGTAAGCCTAATATCCCAGTGATCCCAGTCTCCAAGGGCGAGAGGGCCACTCGCTTTTCCCCAGAGGCCAAAGAAATCGCTGAGGAGAGAATCAGAGCAAGGGAAAAGTCTGTGAAGAGCCAAGCACTCAAAGAGGCCATGGCTAAGCAGCTCAACAAAATGAAAGAGTCTGATGTGGACAAGGGGCCCTCACCAAACGTGGCCACAGATTCAGCAGCAAAAAGCAGAAAGTCCCCCGGATCTCCTAAAGCATCGGCTGTGAAAGCGCTGGAGTCCAAGAGGGCCGAGAGCGGGTCGGAGCGTTTCTTCTGCAGCAGCAAGAGCCTGGACAGCTCGGTGGCCTCCTCAGAGGGCTCCTCCTCCGGCAAGAGCAAGAAACGAAGCTCCCTGTTCTCACCTCGCAAGAATAAGAAGGAGAAGAAAGCCAAGAACGACAGCAGACACTCAGGCACTGAGGAGACGCCGCCAAAACACAAGTCGCTGTGGAAGGCTGTGTTCTCTGGGTACAAAAAGGACAAGAAGAAGAAGGACAACAAGTCGTGTCCGAGCACTCCTTCGTCCAGCTCCACCACGCAGGACTCTGGGAAGAAGAGAACGTCACCTCTGGGGAAATCTTCAGGTCTGAGCTGCTTTCAGAAGCTTGTTGCTTGCGTCAAAACGTTTTGTAATCAGGGAAGTTCATATTTTTCTGCTCTCCCTGTTCAACAGATTTAAAAACCCGAAGGAATTTGAGCTTCTCTGAGGAGTCGGACCTGTCGTGTGATGACGTTTTGGAGAGATCCTCCCAGAAATCAAAGGCAGACGTGAGTATAGATACAAAGATCAACTCTTTTCTGGGTGAGCAGACACCTCAGTGTCTCTGCAGAGTCAGCAGAACATTTACAGATCATCACTACAAAACAGAGCCTCATGAAAGTATTCATACCTCTTCAGCTACAATTTTTTATCCCCTTAAAATTTCATTGGGACGTTAATTAATAAAACTAATGCTGAGTCATCATTTAAAAACCACAAGTGAAAGGAAAAGAGAAGAGACATTTAAATGTATTCAGGTCACAAACAATTTTAGGGATGTCCCAATCTGGTTTAAAAATATCTGCCTGCATCTAAAATCTCATATATAAGCAAGCTGATAGAAATATAACTCATAGATGAAAAGCAAATAGATAATTGTGTAGCTGACTTTTGCTCTCACTCTCTTAATATTCCCTTATCAGACTTTTTCTAACATTCAAAAATGAAGAAAATGATAATACAAATATGAAAAGTTATTCAAATGAAATGAAAACAGTTGGATTGGGACGATCTTATTCTGTATAAAAGCAGTTGTGTCTATTTTAAAATTGCTCTCCATCAGTTTAACCGGACTGAAGCTGTTTTGGAAAAAAGGGGGAGAAAAGTAAAAGGCTTTAGCCATGGAAACCTGCTGCAAGGTTTGGGCTGATTTATCATGAAGTACTTTGTGGTTTTATACCTGTAAAAGCTGCTATAGAAATAGTTAATTTCTGGACAGAGGAGTTGAATATGAATGCAAACAAATAAAAAACAATTGCAATAAGTAATGACTCATATCTTGGGGGAAAAAAAACAGCAGTTATGCAAAAAAAACAACAACCCAAAGAATGCATCAAAGTTTGTTTAAATCTAATCTAATCTAATCTAATCTAAAGAAAACAGGGTTAAGCTCAAGGGGTGTGAATATTTTTTAAGGCACTGTGTTTAATGCATCTCATTAAATCATTTCAATATTATAAACATCTACAGATTTTGATTTTTTTTATTTTCTTCTGCTTATTGAAATGTTTTTCAGATTTGATTTGTTCCTATGAATCTGATTTTTTTCTGCTCTTCATAGATCTAGAATATCTAAACATGAAGTAGATTAAATGATACCTTTTCTGAAAAATGACTGCAAAAACTGGCACATTATCTTCATTCCCATTATTATTTGTTCATAATCATTTCTTCCACTTTTAGCTGCATATGGACATCTTTGATCTAGTGTCAGGCATTCAGAAGGAGGCAATAAAGGAGGAGAAACTGGGAAAGGAGAGAAGGAAAAAAAAGAGAGTGAAAGAGGGGCAGAAAGAAAGGGAACCAGAAAAGGAGGTTGAGAAAGAGAAGGAAAAAGACAACGAGGAGGTATTTTGCAGCTTGGGGGTTAAATGATTTTGAGTTTCCAATGAATAAAACCGCAAACCCCAAATTCCACCAATATTCTCTTCACAAAGTTTGTCTTTTAAGAATCAACTTGTTCAGTTTATGTTTTCGTGATCAAGCCTCAAAAAGAGAAATGTTTACATATTTCTCTCCTCAAGTGATCCCAGATCTAATCAAGCAGCAAATTCAGGAGGCAGCTCCATCTCCAAGGTCTACACCGACCTACAGAGAATGAACGCCAATTATAATATTGTTTGATCCGAAACAAGTTAAACTTTTCTAAAGGCGGCCTTTGCTCTGCATGCAGATCATGGATCATATGAGGACTGTGCAGACATTTGGTACACAAAAACTCCTATTTTATAATGCAAGCTCTTTCATTTGCATCCATTTGCATTCATTGTGCTGTGAAATTCAAAATGATTCCCCCCGCTGCAGCTCAGTCGGTGTGTGTGTCCTTGTTTTGTCTGGTGGCTCTAGAAAGACACAGTGGAATTCAGGGCCAGAGGCATGAATTTTTTTACTCAGTGAAACTATTGACAAGCTCCCTTTTACTTTCCTGCATTGTGAAGAAAATGGTTGCTATTGTAATTCTCAGTGACAATGATTTGAATTCAGCCTTAATAGAGTCGGAGTAATGGCGGCTGCAGCTGCGACTTGCCTCCTGGGCCTTCAGTAGTTCATGAAATCACATGAACTCTGCAGTAGATCTGTTCAAGTGTAGACTGTAGATTTAGTACTGAAACTAGCAGATATTGTCAAGTAGTTTTGTTGTAGTTTTGTTGTAGTTTTAGATAATAATGCAGAGTGTTGAAAAGATATTTATCCCCTTACAGATTTCTTCTCTTTTGTCACACTTTTACATTTCAGATAATCAGATCTGAGTGTTTATGCAGTTTTTATACGATTATTTCAGTTATAATGGAAACGGCTCTACCCAAACCCACCTGATAATGTATTAAAAGAGGCCCGATAACTGTCTGTTCTGTCCAAAGCAGCTGCGTTTACCATCAGATATTTGTAAGAAATTCAGACAGTCTCCATCTTCCCCAAGGAGGAACTTTTTTCCCACTCTGCTCTGCAGAAATAGTTTTAACCCATTCATGTTAGATGGTTCTCTAGCATGTGAAGCATGATACATTTGTGCTAAAATCCACTCTTTCATTAGACCATCATTTTTTTTAGATGTAATTACTCGTGCATTGATGTGGGTAACTGTCCTGCTGCTTAACCTGTATTGACCTTAAAGGTATAGTGGAGGATGTTCTTTTCCCCAGTGGATCATCAAAATAAGTGGTCTTCCTAATTGTCAATCATTCTGGTGATATGTTTACATTTACAGTGGAGAAGGCGGGTCTTTTCAAAAATCCTCCACTATACCTTTAAGGTCAAAAACTCATGTAGGGCTGAAACAATTAATCGGATTAAATGTGATAAATTGATTATTGAAATAATTGCCAACTAATAAAGTAATCGATGAATCGTTAACTGGAGTATAGAAAGTCTAAAACATGCCTGTAGCTGACAGAGCAAACTACTTAGAGCAGTAATTACACCATGATTGTAAAATAAACATGTAAACATTTTGCATTTAAGATAAAAAGAAATAAATGATCTGCTAATAATCTCTATCCAAAACTCCGTAAGTGGAAAGGTTTGAGTTTCACCTGATTTAATTTAATGAAAAGTATTTGTTAAGGAATCTTTGGTTATCCGATTTAATAACTGATTTGCAAAGTAATTGTTAGTTGCAGCCCTAAACTCATGGTCAGATATCTAGTTGTGTATATTTTGCTGTACTACTAAACTAATAGTTGTTTTAATAACATAATCTGTTCAGCGCCAAAGAGTATTAGATTCTTTTTAAATTATTTTAGTTCTAAATCATCGCTAACAACAATTCTCTCAATAGTTCAAAAGGTCTTCATTTGTCTGCTCAGTCCACAGAATTAATTCAGTAAAGTTTTGGTAAATATGAATCCTAACGTAGGTAGTGAGGCCTTCAGAGCTTTAGATGTACCTCCTGGATGAATCGTTAATGAGATCCTGGATTAATTTCAGTAGATCAGACGCCCCCCTGAAGGTTTCTCTGGATCAATGTTGTTCTCACTCTGGTTCTCTAGAGCAGGCATCCCCAACCTCGGTCCTCAAGGCCCACTGTCCTGCAGGTTTTAGAGGTTTCCCTGCTTTAGCACAGCTGATTATAATGATTGCAGTAGACCAAAAGCCTGTTAATCAGCTTTCAATTAAAATCAGCTGTGCTGGAGCAAGGAAACCTCTAAAATCTGCAGGATAGCGGGCCTCGAGGACCGAGGTTGGGGATGCCTGCTCTAGAGACCCTAAAGTCATAGAAATGGCTTTACAACCCTTTCCAGGCTGGTAGATGTTAACGCCTTTGTTTCTGGGCTGTGGAAAATATATATTTTTTTTAGATTAAGTCAACATGTGTTGCTTTTGGAGACTATTTTTCCCTACTTCCAGCTGATTTCAGACCTGGGTGTGATTATTAAAATCTAAATTCATGATTTAAAACGAGGAATTGGAAGAAATCTGTAAGGGGTAAAATAGTTTGATCATGACTCTGTGTAGCTATCATGGTATAGGATATTAACATTGCCTGTTTTGATTTTTTTTACCAACTAAATAGTCACCTAAGTGTTGTTTTAATTTTGACCTGTTTAACATAACCATTAACCCATTTAATCATATCGTCTGTATCATGTTTGTTTCCTCCCTTTTTTTCTGTTTTGTCTTCATCAAGTCTGTTTATGTCCCTCACGCGCTGGCGTTCAAGAGATCGTACGCCACAAAGGTAGTAGTATGACATACATTCCCGTTGAAAACCCTCCCTCCGCTCGCCCCTCCGTTTCCTGCACAGTTCGCTGTCATAACACCCTGTGTATGTCTGGTCAAAACTAACAAGCAGAGCCCGCTCTCTTGCTGCTGGATGCTTTAAAGACGTGACTTCTTCTTCTCTGGTCTCGCTGATGAGACAGCATCCCCGTCATACTGTCATTTCTGTCCTGTTTGCTATGAACAGATTCATCTGTTGTTGTGATGGACTTCCTCCGGGAGAGAAACTGGAGAAGCATGTCCTGCCTCTCTGCTTTCACTTATTTCCTCTCATTTCTGAAAGCTTTTCATTTTTATTAAACACCACAGCCAGTACTGCTGGGTTCTTATGTAAATTTGTAAGAGAAGATTTAATATTAAGAGGTTTTTGCTTTTGAGACCATATTATATTATTAATTAACAGAAAGATAAAAATATGCATTATAAAGAAACTTTATATGTGGATTTGTCCTACTGATAGTTGGACAACGCAGAGATGAATATAAAGCAGGCTGTTTTCCTGGACTGTAACAGTACACAAATTCATGGCAACATCTTTTAGTCTGTTTTAAAGCGTATGCAAAATTTTTATGTGTTTTATGTGCAGCGTCCAATTCCCTGAAATAATGCCGAGCTAAATTGAAATAGAGAAAAAAATCACCTAAAAATCCAGCAGCGGTTCTGAGACTATCACTGGTTTCATTTTGGATTCCCTCTCCTTCCCCAGTGGTTGCAATTCTAAAGTACGTCAAGTTCAACTTCTGCTTTATATTATGAATGTATTAAAAAGACTTCAAAGTCATTTTAACATCTATAGGCATCAAACATCCTATTTAAAGCTGTTTTACTGCTGTCTGGTGCATCCATCCACACTTTTCCTTTTATTTATTGAAAGGAATCAAACCAAATCCTCAGTCGGTCCAGTTTTAAATTTCGGAAACATAATACTATCTCAATATTTTTATGATTCTATCAGTTTTTTTGTTCGCTGTTTTAAGCATTAATGAATAGAAATAGTTAATCTAGATATAAATGTACTGAGAACATAGTTAACTGTGTTTATTTTCTACCGTTGCAGCTCTGCATCTACTGTCTGGGTGTTTTAGCTTTTGGATACTCTTACTCTGAAGGAACCCCTTTCACTATGACACTCCTAAATAAAAACCTATTGGAACCAAGCATTGAAATTCTGCTAGTACTCTTTTCTATCAATAATCTGAACATAGAAAGAGGATGGATCAACTGTAGATCTCCAAAGACATGCAGATCCCCCTTAAATGACAGGCTGGAAGAGAGCAGGAATCAGAGAAGCATACAAAAGGGCCACGGTTACTCTGGAGGAGCTGCTTAAAACCACGAGAAAGTGGGGAAAACTCAAGATCCCTATCAGCCAAACAATCCACAGCTCTGTTTTATTAGAAAGGTGACAGAAAAGCAACATCTGCTTTTAGATAAAACCATGCAGGGAAAGAGGCCAAATGCAGCATCATATGCAGGGGAGGCTTTATATTTCACAGCTGCTAATATTCCTTAAAATAATAATGAAATATAATGAGGTTATGGTTGTAAACCGATCAAATGTGAACAATAATAAGAGCTATTACTACTTTTGCAAGCTACTGTAGATCAGGGTTTAAATTGGACCCATGCTTCCTAAACTGGCTCTGGGTTCAATGCCAAATAATGTAGAGACATGTATTTATTTATTTACCAACAAAATGTCTCTCAGAACTCACACTTTAAGTAAGATAAACTGTATGTGGTGAGTGATAATTCAGCTCACAATACATTTTGTTTTTGGTTTTTAAATTAGGGTGATCATATGTGGTCCAGACGCCTGGAAAGTTCTGATGGGTCCTTTTTATGAGGTGTATAACCTGCGGATAATAAAACCAGACATGGTTAATGGTTTCTAATCAGAATTCCTAAAAATGTATGAAAAATATTAATTTATACAAAGCTTTACGAGCAGTTATGTTAAAGTTTCACTAGACTAGGTTGATTGAGATCTGTAGGTTTTTTTCATAACAGTATATTTACCTTTATTACCTGTAGATTATGGGTAAAACCTTAAATGTTCCTTCTTACTGTAGGTTGCTTCACCCTTTGACCATTTCCTTGCCACTGGTTAAATTTTCTAAATTTTTTACCTCCATTTTAGACAGCTTCCAAGCTGAAACATTTATAAATTATATTCTCTAAATCAGTTTTTATTTTTTGCTCCAATAGAAAGCCTACACAGAGGAAGAGCTGAATGCCAAGCTCACACGCAGGGTCCAAAAAGCCGCCCGACGACAAGCCAAGCAGGAGGAACTCAAACGGCTGCACAGAGCTCAGGTATGAGATGTGTTATTTTTTTATTTTATTTTTCATGTGGATTATCATGGCTATAGCTTTCCTTCTTTCACCATATTGTACCATCTGGGACCTTAAATGCTCTGCTGCATGTTTTATATAGGAAAGTGTCTGTATTTGAGAAGATTCTAGCCCCCATTTACTCTATCCTTTGAAAACCAATCCATGCTTGGTTTCTTACGACCATTTACATGTACACATCATGCTAGCTCGGTTCACGGTCCGGTTCAGTTGTGCGTGCCATTTACATTACTGGTGTTACCATGGTGATTAAAGCAGTTTGTGGTATTCTAACATCAGCATCTCCATGTCACCAGAGGGAAAAGGATGAGCTATGAAATGTCCAGGGAGACCACTAGTTGGATTTGATAAAACGCAGTGGACCAAAACAAGCATATTTTAAGCTTTCCAAATCAAACTCTCACTGAACCTCAAGTAGTTTCAGAAAACAAAGTAAATGATCTGAATAAGGGATGCCAATGATCGATTAATTAATTAGTCTAAAGCTGACAGATCTTATTTATCCACTAATGATTCATTGATAAGCAGCAATTTTCTTAAACACCTGAGTTTTTTCATTGTATCAAGAGGATTTTCTGTAAAATGGAGGGCTAAACTTTTTTACAAATGCTATAATAACAATATTTATCATGCTGGCTGTTAAAAATACTGATTTAATAAAGAAAAAAAAAAAGTTTCCTTGCACTTTATTAAATGGATCAGATACAAAAAAGCAGGAACCTCTTAGGTCATTGAATAAAAAAGATAAATAGAATATATGAAACACATAATTTTCAAAGAACAGAGATTTAGAACAATATAAGACGACAGGATGTGTGGCTCTGATGTTTACCACTTTATTACAATGAAATACACAAACACCAATTGTGGTATGGCTGTTTTTTGTTCTTGTTGCTCTGAGAGGAATGTTATTAATAGATTCA